GTCTATGGGCGTGCATGAGACATTAAAGCATATTATACAATACCATATGCTCGAGTTCATGAAGAAAATGCAGTGTCAGTTTAGTTTTCGACTCAAGTCCTTCCTAACACTGCCTAAAAATTATACCCACCCAGAGCCACAGATGAAATTACACTGAAGTGACGCGTCCATTGCAGAGACTGCACTACGCCCTGTCGTCGTAGATACAAGAAATCTCGATGCAGGCATATACTCCGTCAAGTCAGTCTTCAATCGGGATCAAATGAGCAAGAGTCATTGGTTCTATGTGCTAAGGTTCTTGTCCACATTAACTCCAAAACCGCCTGGTACCAGCAATCAATAGAGTAACTGCATAGGGTGCGTAGAAAAGTGCAGAGGGGGGTGGCTCGGCGTGTTTTCGTATCAAGCGGCGCGAGGTGGTGAAGCAGGGCGCTTTCTTGCGCCAATTGTGCGCCGCCTCTGCGTCACCAATGCTGTAATTTGCCAGCCCTTCCCCCCGTGCATGCACGACAAGTGTTGTTACGTTACATGATTGGCTTATGCGCGCGCGCAGCGCTTGCTACTCGTGCTCTTGTATCCAATCTCATCGCGGCGACATGCAGACGTGCCGCCTCCTCCTCGGGCCCAGACCCCCTCCCCCACCGCGCCATGCCTGCTCCCTCCACCACCTTCCTTCCAACGCCCGCGCCATTTCCCCTCCGTCCCGTCATGACGCTCCCCCTCCCGCCGCGCGCAGACGCCCTTCTGCGCACCTCCAGCCGCAAGGCAGTCGCCGTCGCGCTCAACTATGCCGCGCACGCCGCCGAGATGCAATCGTCCCTCCCCGTTCCCCGCGCCGCTCCCTACTGGTTTTTCAAGCCCTCCACGTCCTATCTGCCTCCCGATTCGGGCCCCGCTCTGCTCCCCGAGTTCTCCACAGTTCACCACGAAGTCGAGCTGGGCGTCGTCATTGGCAAGCGCGCCACTGATGTGCCTAGGCACCTCGCGCACAAGTACATCCTCGGATACATCTGCGCCATCGATCTAACCGCTCGCAACTGGCAAACACAGGCAAAGGAAATGGGCCGCCCTTGGTCTATCGCCAAAGGCTGTGACACCTTTCTCCCCCACTCCACGCTGGTCCCTGCCGACGCGATTCCCTTAGACAAGGACACTGGCGTGGCGGACGTCAATCTCTACCTCGACGTCAACGGGGAGAGACGACAGTCTGGGTCGACAAAGGATATGATCTGGACGGTGCCAGAGCTAATCGAACACGTGTCGAGCTACGTCACGCTAGAAGAGTGGGACCTGCTGCTCACTGGCACGCCTGAGGGCGTGTCGGAACTCAACCATGGCGACGTCGTGACGGCGGGCATTCAGGGGATCGTCGACCTCAAGTTCGACGTTGTGCGCAAGGCGGAACTTCGAAGCCCGGATGTGCGCGCGGCGCGACAGTGACGTCGACGGCACCGCCGGTGTGCTAATGCATTGATGGCAACAAACGACGGGAGAAAAATACACCTTTTTTTTTGGCGATCCCCAATGTCAGGCCATTTGCGACGAGTGGCACAGGGAGGCCGTCGCCTTGCGTACAGTACAGCATGAGGCGGCCGCTACCCTCTTCGGCGGCGCCGTTTTGAAGCACTCTGGATATGTCCTTGATTGTTCCCGCTCTCCCCCTTCAATCACCGCGGCGGCCGAGTAGGCATCTCGAATGATGCAGGTATACAACAGTAGGCTAGAATGTGCAGTCCATCAATACAGTGGCACTGCACAGCTTCACTTCACTCGTCGCGACATTCAGTGAAATGTGGCGCAGAATCGCCAACTACAACCAAGGGGTTGAAACCGTAAACCACCTTCGCCGGGGGCTAGCGCGTACAAAGCGAGAAAAAAAAAACTAGAACCTCGTTCCATGCAAAGCGAAAGGGATGTATGTGAGTGTGTTTAATAGCAACGCTAACCCGGACGAGGGTCAACCACCCCCTCCCGCCAGCATAAACACGGCTAGGCGTGGTTAGCGCAGCCGGGAGGATATGCGCATACGAACGAAATCGAACGACGACGACGATGCAAGGTGTGAACAAAACCGCGCGAGTAGGCGTCATTAGGGCGATTAGCTCGTATGAGTCTTCAAAAATTCGATGAGATCGGCGCGGTCCTGCTCCTTCTTGAGCCCCGCGAAGACCATCTTGGTGCCCTTGATGTACCTCTTGGGGTTGAGCAGGTATTCAAAGAGGGTCTGGTCGCTCCAGATGATGCCCGAGTTTTTGTTGGCGGCCGTGTACGCAAAACCCTCGACCGAGCCGGATTGGCGGCCGAACAGGCCCCACAGGTTGGGGCCCTGCTTGGTGCCGCCGCCTTGGTCGTCTGTACGCGAGAAAAAATTGGAGAGGAGGAGTTGGAGCAAGTTAGTCAATGCGATCGCGTGGATCGGGAGGGCGGAGGAAATTGGAGCCGGCACGTACATGTGTGACATTGGGAGCACTTCGTCTTGAAGATCTTGGCTCCCTTTTCGATGCGACCAGCGGGGATACCCATTTCGAGGAAAAGGCGGGGGAATGCGCAAGTGAAGAAAGGTGAAGGTCGGAACCGGAGCACGGTAGATGGACGAGAGGGTGGCGAGGTCAACTGCAAGGCCAATGCGCTAAAGTGCAAGTCAAAAACTAGACAAATTGGGGCGTGGTCGGATTGAGGTGGAATTGTGGCGCGTTAGATTCGATGGTGACGACGAGCCATCGGCACTGCCATACGGACGTTTCGCCGGGTGCCAAGTGTCGAGAGACCGGTCGCTGGCAAGAGCACCGGAAAATTGGAGCCGGACGATGCTGTCAGCGACAACAATGCTTACATAATGCTGGGGCGGTGTGGCACGCGTGACGACTGCCACAAGCACTGTACAGCACCTCGTGCTCGAACGAGCACGTGCCTTGTCCTCTTCCTCACCTCGGCAACTACAGTACCATGGATGCTGTCGCCGGTGCGCAGAGCGGTATCATAGGAGCACAGCCAGTGTAGACAACAGTGACCTCATATGAGGCTACTTTTCAACTTCTTTTTCTCGACTTGCGCTTACTCAACAAGAAGGAAAAGGTACTCTCGCCACCGCAGTTGACTTTTGCGTTGCGGAAGGATGGAGTTTGGTGAGGTCTGCAAGTCTTTTCCAGCTCATTTTAGACTTGCCTAAAAAGAAGCTTTATGACCAACCTCAAAACGTTAGATGTTGATATCTTCGAAACTAAAAGGCCTGTTTAAAATGTCAACCGGGTACTGAAACTTTATTGGATTCTGAGACTTTCTGCGTATTGATAACTGCTATCTCAATGTTTTGCAAGATGTTATTGCCGAGGGCATGCACGTTAAAGAAATGGCTTCCAAACTGACTTATACAGTCGATATTAATGTATATATATTTTAGCAAAAAAATGCTGGCCTCGTTTGAGGCCATACCTGATCTCATATGGGGCAAACCGCTTGTCCTCTAGACACTCTAGCACGAGCAAATGCGACCCCCTTGATGAATGCCCTCTCAAGTCGCATCCGCCACGCCGCCCCGCTGACTCGTCATATTCGTTTCGGCTGTCGACAGCCTCTCTGGTCACCAGGGAGCGAAGCATAGCTCATGCAGCCAATATTCGCTTCCGTCGCCAGTGACCCGCGCCTTGTGCATGCGCCATGCGCCATAGCTCGTCCATAATGCAGCCGTGCACACATGCAGAACATGCATCATACAGTAAACGATCCACACCGTACCACCCACTTGACATCTTGACATAACAGAACATTTCTTAACATAACAGAACCCACCCCCTTCCCCCCCCCCCCCCCCCCCCCCCCCCCGGCCTGGACTGCCCTCCTATGATCCCTCCCCCCTGTCCTCACGATCCTTCAACCCCAGTCATGAAGCTCCCCGACCTGGACCTGCAAGCCCTCTTCTTTGACCTCGACGGCACGTAAGTTCTCCTCCTTCTCCCGCCCTAGCATCCACAATTTTCTCCCACAGCTTTCTCCCATCACCTTCTAACATCCATTCCAGCTGCGTCAACTCGGACCACATCCACTTTTCCACATACCGCGACATCCTTCTGGAGCTCGCCCCAACGTTTAACTCTGGCCTCCCGATCACCCGCACCTATTACGACACTCACATGTCGGGTCGTCAAAATCCCGAACTGGTCGCGTCCCTCCTCCCCTCTGTCCCGCTCCCCATTCGCACGCGTCTCTGGCAGGCCAAAGAGGCGCGCTACGAGGACCACATCACGCGCGGCGTGCCGCCCATCTCCGGTCTTCCAGATCTCCTCTCCCTCGCGCGCACAAAGCACCTCCGGACATATGTTGTGACCAACGCCCCCAGGGGGTCCTGCCACAAAACCATGGCCGCTATTGGAATCGCGGAGCACTTTGGCTCGCACGTCATCGTCGCCGAGGACTGCGCCGCGCCCAAGCCTGACCCGGCGCCGTATCTGACGGCGCTAAAGCTGGCCGGCGTGCGCCCGGACCAGGCCGTCGTGTTCGAAGACTCGCCTTCCGGCACGTGCAGCGCCGTTGCCGCAGGGCTGCTAACGATCGGCGTGCGGTCGACGCAGACGGACGAAACGCTCCGCGCGGCCGGGGCGACTTTGACGATCGGCGACTACCGCGACGCGGTTCTCCACAAGGCGCTCGCCAAGTGGGTCTCCTAGGACGCTAGTTGAGCATGTGGTGCTGCAGTTGCGACACGGCCTCGCGGCGCTTTTCGAGCCGCTTGCGCTGCATGTACGCAAGGTCATCCGTGGGGAGCTCAGCACGGCATAGCGGGCAGGTGCAGTGGCTGCGCAGCCACGGTACAACGCAGTCGGCGTGGAAGGTGTGCCCGCACGGTAGACGCTTTGCAGGCTCGTTGAATTCGTACTCCTCCGTGCATATGGGACAGGAGGACGGGCCCGAGGGACCGGGGCGCATGTTGACGACAGGGAGAGTGCGGATCGACTCGGCCGAGGCGGGCGGTTTGCCGGGCATCGACGGGTCTGTGTCGGAGACCTGCGCGAGCAGGTGGTCCACCGCCGCGGCGAGGCGCTCATGTTCCGGGCCCGTGGCTTCTGACATACGCGCCACGAGAAGGGCCAAGCGTAGCATCACAGTCGACGTTGAGGTTTGAGTCGAGGCAGTGTCGCGCTCGTTCGGACGCACGTCGTGCTCTTGGTAGTAGAGATCCATAGTTTGGGGGGCGGGGGGCGGGTAGGGGTTGAAGTTTTTCGATCCAAATGCTCGCAGCGGTAAACAAGGTAGAGCCTTCAAAGGGACGTCTGTTTGTGGGATTGGGGAAAGACGGAGGCCGTGTGATGTCCGTTGAGGTCTGGATTGGTGCTGGAGGCGAACATCTTCGAGACGTAGACCAGCTGCTCTTGTTGACCTGCGCTGCAATAGAGAGATTACGAAGCTACAATTTATCCTTAAATCTCGTTACAAATCTACGGAAAATTTTGTGGAACATTTATAGCAGATTTGTTCTCATATGTAATTACGAAAGACCAAATGTGATGTAAATATGAGAACTAGCACACGGCATCCCATCGCCGGCGAGTAAGAGACGTCCCCACTACAAGCTAAAGTTTACGATACGTATTCCATCCTGTCTGAACGCTAACCTCTCACCCATCACCACGAATTTTGAACCAGTGCAACCATCATGCGGCAAACCGATTTTTCTCTCGCGCGTGCAATGCAGCGATATCGGTATCAACGCAGACGCATGCTCCTACTGCATGCAATTAACGCACCTTTGCCGTATTTTATACGAGAATATGACAAGGCCATGCGTTCTCGTGGTGATGTACTACGCATACGGCTTAGATCTGTCTCCATATCTTCTAACACTTCTAAACTCAACATGTATTCAGACGAGTGGTCCTTAAGGGATTTCCGTTTCCAGGTGAAAGACATCACCCGAATAAGTGCATGCATGGGCTGGGTATGCGGGAAGACTAAGCAAAATGGTTACAGGTGCGATCCTATAACGGCCTGTTGCATTGTTACGTGCAAGCTTGCATTCCCATGCCGTTGGAAAGATGTCGAATACTTATTCGGTATGCATGCACCTGCCTTGAGTGAAATCTTTTGGGTGGTGTTAGAAACATTTATTGAGGGGAAGGGGTAACTGCTAACTGATCTACGTGAAGGAATGTTGGCGGAGAGGGAGCCCTTGTATGAAGATAGCATCCAAATTGCAGGTGCGCCCCTAGACAGTTGTGTAGGGCTTATTGACTGCACGAAGATCAAGATGAACAGGCCAGGCGGACATGGTAGTATGCAACGCAGTTGCTATTCGGGGCACAATCGCATTCACGGCCTAATCTATCAAACAGTTACAACACCGGATGGATTAAATTTTCTTTGTATGGTCCTGAGGTGGGTCAAAGGCATGACTTAACCCTTCTCCGCCAGAGCCAACTTGAGGAGCGACTACAGGGCTGTTTAACTATAGTCGATAGGCAGTATTGTGGGATAACTCCTCTCCGCCCTGGGTTGGGTGAGAGGCGGAGGCTTTAGCGAGGGAGCACGCGGCGCGGACGCGACGCGCTAATTGAACCGATCGGACGAGCTCGCGAAAAGGGGGTGGCTCACTGGCCGGTTACGCGCAGTCGTCTCGTGGTGCGTGAACGGGAGCGATCGGTAACGGGTTAGAAGCCAGCGCGCGGGACAGACAACCGAAAACGGACGTACGTAGGCGCAAAAGGGACGGGGGCGAGCTTGCCCCAGTTTACTGGTGGAGACGGGTGTCAGGTCTTAACCCCTCAGAGGAACGCCTCGGACACCTGTCCCAGTATACAGTACCTGCCGCCTAGTGCGTACCAGGTACTGTACGCCATTAAAAAACTAGCGCCTCAATTCCTAATTACCGCACGGACGCTGCAGCTACACGTGTGTACTACTGTACACACGCGCTGCTTACAGACTACCGCACGGATGCCACGTGTGCTAGCGTACACGCGTCATACTGGTAGACTACCGCTTGGCCGACACGTGCACTACTGTACACGTACGCCAGATTACGACCGCTCGGCACGCGCGCGCTCCCTACACGTGGGCACACCCGCCCACGTGTCCACCGTGCACGGCCGCACTGTTAATAATCTCCCCGCGCGCGCGTCCGTCGTTATACTACAAGTATTATCTCTACGGTGATGCTGCGTATATGATCCGGCCCTGGATGCAAGTAGCATTTCCCCGTATATGGGTAACTGTAGAACAGGATATATGTAATAACAGGATGAGTGCTCTGCGCGTATCCGTCGAATGGAGCTACAAAGACCTCAAGCAGCTTTGGTCTCCAAACGACTACGCACGTGCTCTAAAAGTCCGCCAGGCGCCCATTGGACTCATATATATGGCTTCAGCTTTATTGCTGAACTTCAAAACATGTCTTGAAGCCGGAGGGCAGGTGCAAACGTTCTTCAAGTGCGCCCCACCCGCTCTGACCCAGTACCTCAATGCAGAGTAAAATATGCGCGCAGCGCGCACAGCGCGAAGCGGGCGGGTGAGATCACTGCAACTTGTTGGCAAGGGCCGCAAACACGTCGATCATCTTGCTCCTTTCGAGAATGGCCATTTTCCGTTCCTCAATTTCCACACCCATCTTTCTCTCTTCTACATCCAGCTTGCGTCGTTTTGACGCTTGAACGACGTCAAACCGCTTTCCCTTTTCCTCCACACGTCTCTTTTCCAATTCATATATTCTCTCTTCTAACTAAAACCACCGACTGTCCTGGTCCCTACGCGACTCCATATCCCGTACAAGGGCTTCGGTGGTATCCTCGTCGGACTCGTAATTGATTCTCCGCCTTGTCTTCCCAACATTGGGGTTTCTCCCCCCTCCCCGCGAAGCGCGACTAGCAGTACCCTGAGAACGGTTATCTGCTTCCACCTCTACAGTATGACACGCGGTCTCCCCCCACCACGAGCTGTCCAGTTTAACGCCATGATCCTCAGCTCCTCCCCAGCAACTGCCAAACGCTTCTCCTTCTCCAGACGTTGGTCCTTGGCCGCCCGCTCCCCCTCTGCGTACTCGTCCATATCTAAAATGAGATCGTCGAGCAACGTCTCCCTCTCCGCATACACCTCCACTTGTCCCGACGATGCCATGGATTTCTTATTGTCCGAACGTCGTTTCGAGATACTCACCTTGAACCGATCTTCTAAACTCTTCTGGGAGGGCGGGTTCTTCTCTCCTAACAACGCCGGGGGCGCCGTGGATATGAATGTAGAGTGAGCTTCCTCAAATAAAATACCTTTTCAACCCCATGGTGCCACATGCGCTTCCGCAACCGACACCGCTTTCAAAAGCAGGATGTCGGCCGAGTCGCTGAAGCGGAAGCGCTTAGAGCGAGGAGCAAATTTTTGCTGGCGTGCATGTGGGGGAGAGGGGTCGCCGCACTGCGTAGGTGCAGTTTGGAGAGCGGCTGCAGAGATGGAGTTCGCAGGCGGAGGGGAAGAAGCCGTGGTCTGAGGGGTGGGTGTGTTGCCTTCGTGGCGTGTCGGAACAGGAGAGGTCCGGGCGAGGGTGGCGTGAGATTCATGAGACGGAGGGGGCGGGGACAATGCAGGAAGGGCAGTGGAGGTGTGAATGCGCGAGAGGAGGGGGATGCCATGGTGGTGGGGATACGAAATGGTGGAGAGATGAGAGGGATAGATGGGGTGCGTGATGTTGTTTGCAATGGAAAGGGCGTTGATGCAGGGTGTTCAAACGTCCTTCCTCGGTTTCCGGCGCCAAAAGCATGATTGAATCATGTGCATATAGAGGGGTGGTTCTGAGGTACTTTTTTAAATTTCGTTATGGAGTTGCATCCAACGAAATCATTCTACGGTGCGGGGAGCAATTCTCGTTCGGCAATGCCACCTGTCGCGCATATCGAAGATTTGTCGTGAATTTGTGGTATTTTTAGAGCTTCGTAATCTCTCTAATGGCCCCAATCGCTATGACATAATTTACGAAAGGCTCCATCCAATCACCGCCCCTTCCCCCGGGAGCCCCACTCTGTGCACGTGTAAGGTTGTGCTCTTCACAGTGCAGGGGGTACTGTACATTGTTATGATGTTTTTGCGCATTGGCGCAGTGCTTTTGTAGGACACCCCTGTAATTGGGTGTTTTGCCATGTCTTTGCCGTAATGATGACTGTTTTGAGAAAAGATCCATTGGGTTCAAAACTCAACTCCGGGCGACGCTGCTCGAGAGTCCACTCGGGGCCTCCAGGAGTACACCTGACGTCCCCCTCCCTCTCCCTTCCCCCATGCCCGCCCCCCTCTTTCTCCCGAATATCCTCTTCCCTACTCCTTTCGCTCAGGTGGTTGACGCTGTCCACGGCCTTTTGTTCGGCGCATTTACCGTGCTGGCACCCGTAGCTCTTCCAGGACTCCATTTCACAACGTGTTCGCCGCGATTGCCTTGTAGGATCAGCTTTTGGCCGACTATGTCCTTTGCCGACAACGGGCCGCATTCCTCTCGGTAAGACATATCCAGGTGGCACGTGAATTCGCCACTCCTTACCAACGCTATCACATGCGAGACCAGCGGTATCTTGTCACAATTGTACTTCGAAATAGCCGACATTGCTAAAACCCTCCTACTACCTTCTATAGTAAGCCGCCTAGCGCTGACTGGGACCTTAGTTCCGTCTCCCTTGTGCACGAGTCCCGTCACAACTCGAGCCAACGCTGACGCCATAACTATTGTACACCCAATTATAAATATCGTGTTCACCGTGGCCACTGTCTTAGTTTCCGAAAACAGAGTCCCGCACCTATCGGTCAGTGACACGGCCATCCAACTAACAGTTGTGCTAGTGGCCTCCTCACTTCCTTGGGTCCAGCCGCGATACATACCCCACGCATCTCCGTAGCTCGACATTCCAACCTGCAACGCCAAGAAAGCTGATGCCATTGTATATGTGTCATTCCAATTCTTTTCCCTGCATGAAAACTGACCCGCTTCCTTGAAGCCGTTGACTTTCTGTAGACACATCACGGATCTTGTGCCATTGTACTTGACGAACGCCCCCATCTGTTGAGCCATTAAATGGGAATCTCGCACGCACTCGCTTTGTTGCTGATCGCCGATACGCTCATGGGATGATTACCAAACTAGTGGCCGTTGTTGCAAAGAGTATCTAGGCAGATATTCTCGATGCCCAGATTTGAGTGTCCGCGATCGGGTGCCCCAGATTTTGCGAATAGCTGGACACGATGGAATCGTATAGCAATCCGTTGGAGGTTTTGAAAATGTTCGGTAGTTTTCAAAGTCTCGTTTTAGTGGCCAGCAGGAAGCCCTCCTTTTAATCCAAATCAGCCTTTACAGCTGCTGGACGCCAATCAGGTGCCCTAGAATCGGTGTCACGGATCATCACGCCTCCGTGACCAAACCTCTTCCTTCGCCTCCCTAGGGGGGGCCTTCTGAATGACCTTTTTCACAAAACCTGGAGGCCTTCATAGTATTCAAACTAATGAGCCATTCACCGATTCGACGAATAATTGCGATTTTAGTTTGGTTGGTGTAAATACATATCATGGAGGACTCAAGGCGCTTTCTTCGAGTCCTCCACGGTGTAGTATAACCCTCCCTGGGGCTTTTTAGATTAGATCAACAACGGATCCAATGAGCCTCGGGCTCTACAGTACTACCGCGCGTGGCCACGTGTACCCCTCGGGTACAGGGCGCACGCGTGCACACGTGTACACGTGTACCGCGCGGGACGGAAGCGCGCGCATACACGTGTACTGTCAGCCACGATGGCTGACAGTATTACAGTACGGTCCGATCCGTGCTACCGTAGACCACTACAGTACTTCGGTACTGTAGTGTAATAGGTTGTTTTGTATATTAAATATGGAGCGGACCGGCGGCGGTGGAGGAGGACAACCACGGACTTGTCACACACCAACCGTCAAGGTCCGACTTCCCGCTTATTCTCAGGTAACGCTCGCTAATTACCTTAGAAGCAGCACCGACCGCGGGTTGAGGACGCGCGCGGTACGCCCACGAGCCTGCTCCGCCTCCGCCCGTCGGTACTGGATCGTTACCCAGTACCGCGCCGGGGCGTCGAGGCGTCGAACCGCTCGCGCGTACCGGCGTCCTCCCCGTTCCCGCTCTACCACGCTACCCGGGCCCGCTGCCCGGTGCCGTTAGCTGGTGTCCCGCTTCACCCCCGTCTTCCCGATCGACAAGGGTCTCGGTCGAACTGTGCATACACCCCTATCGCTGGGGGTGTTTATGCTACACACGGGGAGCAGCGGGAAAACCCAAATTTACCAGAAAGAGTACTCAAACAACTTCGAAGTCCTGCTGGTCATTAAGATGACCATATGAGTCCATCGCAGCCTTCAATTCCACATAAACCAACTTTGTAGAATTATCCCTCCAGGCCAAATTAAACTTTTCGTAAACATGCGTCTCAACGGGAAACGGAAGACTTTATCTTAGCAGTGGTTACGACGTCATCCCCGCATTCCGCCTTAACTCTTTTAAGGCCGCTTGGAATGCTAAAATCTTGGGGTGATAGGCCTGAATACGGCCAGGGCCTATAGACGTGAGCCATTTCCTATGCATTAGTTCAACGTTCACAAGTGGCTGCGGCCAAATATCTGACGTCTGTAGACTTTTCGGTTCTATCCATGACGCAAGCAAATATTCTGTCTTCAAAACTTTCGGTTCCGAATAAAATGAAGATGTTACACTCTCTGAAGAGTCTTATTCTGAATCTAAATCAACGGCACTAAATGCCCTTTTACGACTGTTAAACTCTGCGCCATTGGCCGAACAACGCCTATGTAGGCCCTCATCGTCGACAACAGTACCAACTGTAGCAACGTTTCGTTAGAAAAAGGCGAGGGCGGAGTAAAAACCGCAATTACGATAACGTACCAGGAGAGCTCGAACATGCAAATTCCTTTCTCAAACGGTTATAGCAAGTACGAAAATTGCTCAATTTGTGCTTCTGAAATAAACCCGACATCCCATACACAGCCTTGGGATCCTCTCTCTCCGTAATTTTTTTGGACTCCAGGAGGCTGTGCAAATGTAGCACAGCCTCTGAGGTCTTTGTTAGTTTTTTCTCATCCATTGTGAGTTGGCAGAAAATAGAAGAGAACCCAAATGATGCGGGAGTGGGGATTGGGATCTAAGATGCTCACACTTCTTAAAGAATACAACGTTTTATTGGTTCGCGAATATTTGATAAAATTTGGCCATGACTTTTGGGGCAGTTTTTCGAGACGAACATTGTTTCTACTTCGTAAGACCACGAGTATTACAGAACGTGAAAGCAAACTTCGCAGCCATGTGGATAGTAACTTTAAACTAGAGTACAGTGGAGATAAACAAGCAGCGGCCACGTAAAGATTGCCGCTCGAACATTGCGAATATTCGCAAAATGTGAAAGCACGGTACGTTCGCCGGCCGAACAATCAATTTAAATATGACATGTCATACACAAACGTCATATTTTCATAGTCACCACGTCACTGACATACAGAATTCGTCATACACTGTAACGCTAAGTGATGACGCAATGAGCAGTTATTCATATTTCAGTACGTGTTCGAAAGTACAAATGCGAATGTTTGCGAACGCTGCAGTTGCTAGTGGGGACGAAAAAACCTTTCGTCTATGGTGTTGGCGGTTTGTGAAGCTTCTTTCACAAATGAATATGGTAAGCTTTTTGCCCGGCATGTCTTTTAGTAACAGATGAGATACTGACTTTGGCTTAGTTGAACTTTGTGGATCGTCTATCTGGGAGAGAGAATTGCGTCTATAAAATGAGTGTCGATGGTTTGGACTGCCTAATCAACGAACCAAGCCTCTTCAGCCCCAAGTGGTTCTCGCACAAGTTCAGGAGCGCCGGGCTTCGCTATGAGGTCGGGGTTAGTGTCGGCGGTGGAAATATAGTATGTGCACATGGTCGGTTCCCTTGCGGAAGTTTTAGCGATCTGAGAAATTTTCGCCTTTGTCTGAAGAATTCGTTGCAAGGGAATGAGAAAGTTGTTGCAGACCAGGGATATCCAGATGAGCGTTGTAGTCGTCATATGTTTTATGAAGGTTCCCTCTCGTTTACCTACATCGGCGCTCGTCATGAGGCTACTAATAAGCGTTTGAAACAGTTCAAGATTCTAGGGGGCTGTTTCCGCCACTCGCTTCAACTTCTCGCGCAATGTTTTTTTGCAAAAGCCAACATAGTGCAACTTTCTATTGAAAACGGTGAACCTGTTTTTGCGCATTATTAAAAAGTCTGCTTTTGAACCGCATTTTCCCGCTGCTCTCGGTGCGAACGTGCCCCAACCCCCCAATGATTGAGCCCCCCCTTTAAAAAGCGTGCAAGCGAACGACGTGTTGCACGAGTTGGGAAGTGATGGTTTTGAGTAATCTTGTCTTCTTGAGATGCTTGTATAAACTTGGAAATAAAATTTCGATACAGTTTTCTCTCTGCAATATAATTGGTGTCCAAAATGGGGGTGCAAATTACGGGTTTGAAACTCTCGTTTTGAAAGAGCATATTTTTAACGTGCAGCCAAAAAGAATATAAGGCCTGTGTTTGCCAAGCGCATGAGCTTACTGTTCGTAATTTAAATTCTTATTACCGGCGTGAAACAAAGCTCGGCGGGGGCTATCGCAAAGTAATATTCAATTTAATTTTTGAATTTTGTCCAGAATAGGGGGTGGTCCACTTGTATTCGCCCCAGCGAATGTCTCCCTTTCTATTTACAAATGTGCATATCAACTCTCTACTCCATTCCAATGAGTCCAACATGTCCCATTTAAGCTATCACATCACACACTTTTACGCTACAGTACTGTACTCCCATTGCAAATTCAAACACATCCCAACCAACGGAACCCCGCATCCCACCTCACCCCTGCCCGCCTTCAGCCGCTTGCTTCATCCGCCTTCCCATTCAAGTACCCATAATACTCCGCCAGCCATGCGAGCGTCGCTGTCGGAATAACATCGGTCCCGGGCAGCAGCTCCTCCGCCAGTCCGCCGACCGTCACTAGCGTGCTCCCGAACAAGGCCTGCAGCATCACGGCGGCGAGCGGCGCGGTCACTAAGTCCAGCGCGTCGCCCACCAGCGGCACAGCCACGCTCCCGGACCCGACCAAGTCGATGCCGATGCAGATTGCCAGCTTGACCCACTTCTTCGCTTCTGGCCCACCCCGCTCTGCCACTTCACCGACGCGCCCCGCCACACGCACCACCTCCTCCACCATACCGCGTACGTCCTCGGCCTCCACACGCTGCTCCGCGCTTGAAGAGGGACGCCTCTTTTTCTTGCGCGTCCGTCCAGACTGGGCTTCCGACCGCCTCGCCTGCCCGCCCGTCGGCATTTGCACGCCCGCTGCCTTGCCCACAAACGTCGCTACCCCGACTTCTAGCCCTTTGATGAGTAGGTCGTTGGTGAGACTCATTGAGGCCGCGCGGTGCGGGTGTGTGGGGACGTGGAACTTTTGCTTCGTTGTTCGGGAAGACACCTTGCGCGATTGTAGTGCCCCTGCGAGTGGTGCGTTTGGCGCAACAGGGGAGAGGCAAAAGCCCAGGTGTGCGTCCTTTGAATGTGTCATTCCGAGAGAGTGGGAACGCGGACACAGTTTGCTTTGAGCACAGATGCTTTTAATTTACCCGAGATGGATTGCCCGAGTTGTGAGTGCGAGACAAAGATAAGCCTCAGATGGCTTTGCTCTGCCAACAAAAAAGGCTTCTTCGATATGAACCAAGTACTAACGTTGGAGGGTTCAGGTTCTTATGTCAGCTTGAGGGGACACTGCAAGGATTGGATCATGGGCAGGAGGCGCTCATGGTTGGTTAATGGTGACGTAACGGGCGTTTCAGGCAGAATTCAAAATTCAGATTTCTTTTTCTGCACCGTCTGTCCTACTCTATTGGACCCAAAGGGTGTTGTAGGCTCTTGAATGGTACAGTACGAAGCTACAGCACCGGAGGTACTTCTCTCATTACGTGGAGTACCAGTGGTAGGACAAGACAGAAGCTTGAAGCTTTGCTGCCTGCACACCTGGCAGACACTTCCAATTCCTACTTCCTCAGCCTTCAAACATGTCAAAAAAGCATAGAAACGGCGACAACTTTTCATAAAAGCATTTCGCAATGGCACAATTGCCTTAGACAGGAGTTGCTTCTGTACCACCCTCACGTCACCCTTATTCCCCCCCCCCCCCCCCCCCCCCCCCCCCCCCACCTTCCCCCCCCCCCCCCCCCCCCCCCCTCCCCCCCCATGCGGACGTTAGTCCGCTTGTGAATGCAGACGAAGACGAAGCCTCGAGAAGTGCTCTAGGCAGTAAGGGGACCATACTGTTGTACCCAATGACCGTACTATGGCCGTGGCTGACAGAGAAGTACAACTTTGACCAGGCGCCAAGTGCTGCTGCTGGTGTACAGGATAGACGTTTCTTTTTATTCTCGATTGAACTCAATGGATTCTGAATCAAGGTACAGAAGGTTTACTTACTGCAGTTTGCCGCTGTTAAATGTGAGCTTCATACTATGAAGAGCCCTCCTAGCCCGCGTCTGAAGAGCATTTCCTCCTCCAGTTATCTTTCCTCGGTATTCACGCATACGGAGCAATATGTGCAGTACGGCAGCTGTGGCTACAGTTCGGTCACAAGCGTCTTCTGGATCATGCTGCTACAGTAAATTACCCTTGGTCATTCTTTACATTTACATTCAACGAGGTACATAGTATGTACTGTCGTTTCATCGAGGTACACTGTACATACCAGAGGACAATACCAAGGGTACTAAAGTTTACCAAAGGTTATTTTACTGTCCACTGGTACAGTCTGTAGGTACAGTGAACCCTCCCGATAAGGATCATTCTCCATATGGATATCGGGTTCAATGTGAAATAAACATATCATACAGACCCCTCCTACTTAAAAACGTATTTTATGGTTACTTTTGAGCGGCCAAGGCACAAATTACCCCGTAACCGTTCATTCTTGATCGATCCCTTCACAGTCTGCTCAATAAATTCCAATCCCCGTCTGAGGCTTCGCAATTATCATCGTTCTCGACAAAAACATCTTTCTAGCATATACTCCTGTTGGTCCTCCCCCAATAAATCTCCTCTGATCGCAAACATTGCGTGTTGTCAGCACCATAGCCATCTGCCCCCGTCAAGCGACAATCGTCGATGAAGCGCTCTGAGCTTAACCTCGCCCAAAAGCAACAAATATGTGCAGAGTTCCAACGGCGCAAAAAGAGCAAGGAGCAGACGTCACAAAGCGCCCTTGCGAAGTGGGCCTCAGTGCAGTTTTCCCTTTCCAAATCTCCTGCTCAAGCTGTCATGTCCCGCATCATCAACGGCAAGTATGGTTTTCGTCCCGATATCTCTGCGTACCAAGAAGGGGAATTGCACAGTCCAGACGACGATAAATAAATTTTTAAGTAAAGCACAGACATTCTGAGAGATGCAGGTCACCGTGACACCGTTATGATACGGTCTCCGGATGTGAATAACCTCCGCAAATGGATACGGATTATGTCCACCGAGCGTATCCATATCGAGAGGGTTCACTGTACATACCTCGATGAAATGTAAATGTAAAGAATGGTGAATGCGATGTGAACGTGGTGCCAAGATGGTGGCAGCGCACTCATCTTTATCTCTGTACAGTTCTGTACAGTTCGGCGTCCGCGTGTCCCTCTCCGGCAGCGTACTGAGCTTCACACGTAATGGGATGACTACACTTGGCGCACGAGTGCTCAAGCCTGCAGAGGCCTCAAAGAGCGGTTGCAGTATGAAGTTTCTGATTCCGTAGAGTGAATCCAAGCTGGGTAGCATTTTTCTAGTCTAAAACTGGATCGTCGCATCTCCTTGAAGATACCCAGTGGTCCATGGTGCTGTAAGCGCTAACACTTCGGCGCTCTGCCAAGCCATCGCGTCGCATCTGGGCGCCACAATTTCGTTTTTGCGCGCCCTTTAACGTGGATAGCGATGCGATAACGGGGGCGCTGCGTCCTGTTATGGTCCTGTGAACGAATTACGACGACGTCCTTTCCAGGAAAATTCTGAAATGTTTGGCGGCGCCTTTTTGGGACATGGCGGAGGAGGGGCCTGCGGAATATGGACCTGCGAAATATGGACCTGCGGAATATGGACCTGCGGAATATGGACCCGTTGTGCTCGACATGACGTCCTCGCTGGACTGGGCTGTGCTGTACAGTAAGTGCAGATGCTGCCCGAAACGGTCAAATATTCAAAAATTGTAACTCAATTTTCGAATTGTGTGGGACGTCGTACTGAATTTTTATATGTTTAGGCTGTTTTAGTCCAGTCATCAACAACTGCGCTGCAAAAACGGCACGCTCGTACTCTATTCGTCATCCTTTCTTTTCGCGGGAACCCCTTCGCCACCGTCTCTGAAGCGAAAAAAGCCCGCAGTCAACTCCGCCTCAACGAATAACTCTTTATTTACATTAGCGTCTCATTTAACAACTGCTCTGCCGTTCCGCCGTTGTCCGTCAACAGCTCTGGCCCGCCGCACCTTTCTCACGCCAACATTCAAGGAGGCATCCCACAGCGACATGCCGAGCGACGAAGCTGTCATTCTCCGTGACAAATTGAAAGTCGCATTGCAAGACGCGCGAAGACTTTACGATGAGGAACTCATCGACGGAAACGAGTTTAAGGATCTCAAAGCCAATGAACTGGACAAGTATAAGGAGCAACTTGCCGCCCTCACGACCACTTCTATTTCACGTGCGGCAGAGGGCTCTCAACCGGACCCTCCGAATACCGAGAAGCTCATCTCCATGTCCACACCCGTGAGAAACCCCATGACCGGTCGCGTGCGCGTAGAGGCCCTGCGTCCGTCCCCATCCTTGTCCAATTCGCCTCCATCACCTCCGACCGTGCTGGGCGACCGCTTGAAACGCGGCAAGGACGAAGTCGTCTATGTTGACGCCAATACCTTCAAGAGACTCACAACGCCCCCAATATTTAGAAGACGATCAAGAAACAAGAGGAAAATTGTACTTCCTAGCGCTGAGTTGCAAGCCCTGCAAGGCCTGCACCAGGAGAAATCCAGTCTGGAGTAGCAAAGATTCCTTTTTTGCAGAGACCGTCACCCTTCACTGTACATACCTCGCCTCATTCATGTCTTCGCACTATCCGCTGGGTGCCGACCCATCTCGACCGTAGTTTGCCGGGGGCCGACCTTGGTTTTGAGGCATCATTTCGGGGGGCGCCGGCTGGACGACAAATTCGCGCAATACAAAGCAAAACGGGAGAGCACAAGGTCAGCAATTCTTTGCGGGCAGGGCTTGTGACTTTGAAATAGGGACAAGAATAGTGGCAGGTATTGAGACACATTGACTTATTTAGGACTTACCATTCCTCTTCCATAGCCCGGCGGCGGTGGCATAGGCATCCCTGGTCGTACTCCGTTACCGTACGCCTGTGGCGCCGGTATCCCCAGTGGCGGAGCCATACCCCTTCCATACGCCGGCATAGGAGGACCGCCGCGCCCATATGGAGGCGGCTGATAAAGTTGCGGGTTCGACGACAGTTGAGGTTGCATCGCTGCCAAACTCCCCCCGCCGAGTCCTGGCGCTGGACCAGCGAGCCCTGGAGCTGCCATGCCGCGACCCATCGGCGAAGGTCGATCGGGTTGCGCGGTCAGACCAGCCGCCGTTGCGCTTCGCTTCCCTTTCTTGGGCGCCGGGGGAGACTCAACTGCAATCGAAACGACGCTTTCGCCCCGCAGAAGGACAAGGCCAAGGGCGCGCCTCTCTTCGGTTTCCTGTTGGAGGAGTATCAATTCCACATGCGCATGACACGATCAGTAAAGACGCGAAAGTTGAGCAAAAATAGAGGCAATAGTTAGAGTGTTGTTTGCATGGCAGACGTAGCTTGCGTCCGGCAACGCATGAGGGGGTGCAGGAGGCTCAGAGTTGCAGGTGCGAACAAAACGTACCGCTTTCTTCGCCTTGCGAAACTCTTCGCAGTCGGCCAAGACGACATTCATGTGCTTGTCAAAAGCGAGAAAGCGTCCGACGAGCGTGCGTCTATCATCCAGGGTGATTCGCATGCGGTAGTTGATAAACTGCAGCATTTTGCTGCTTTTTGTGAGCGACATGATTCAGCGGATCCTCGTCGTGCAAGCTGAATTGCGCCGTGGTTGTATCTGGTGTGCGAAAACGGAACTTCAGACACGCGCAGGGGGAGAGAGCGAGAGAGAGAACAGTCCCGGATTGTCGACCAAGTCGGATAGATCTGGTGTCCAGACTTCGGTTTGGTACAAGGCGGGGTTTGGGTTGTTGTGCTCCAGAGCGGGTAGTGATCCACGTCGAACACAGCAATTGTGTTGGTCCACCGTAGCACTCTGCCATGGTGGGCGTACAGTACATGGGCAAAATTGGGAAAGTATTTCTGTTTTTTAATTAAATTCGTAAGCTCAAAAAGGCACGGTAGAGCGACATCGAATGCTCTGCTCGCCTTCGCGCCCAGAGCTCCCCCGTTGAGCAAGGATGGAGGATAGAGACGCGATAGCCACCATGAGACGAAGACGCACAATGGTTCGCCACACGTACGCCTCCAAGTAGTAGCCCTTCAGCGCTTAACTCCTTGGCAGAAATGTCATTCTCAAGACATGCACGGGCGCTCGGGTTGCGACGGTTTGCTTCCCGCCGACGCGGCCCGCAGAACTGGATTGGCGAAAGAGGTGACAAAGAAGAGGTGTAAGATAAATCCTTCCACAACTCTACACAGGCGAAAAAATGATTTCTCTCCCAGTCTAACATAGCCATCCACTCACCACGCCCCGGCAGACGTCCAGAAAAGCTGCGCGAAATCGTGCGCGAGCTCAAGGCGGAAGCGCGGCGGCAGGGGCTGGACCTAGTTGGCGTGACATCGCCACGCGCATCGTCGCGTTTTAAGCAGTACGAGGAATGGCTCGCAAAAGGGTAAGCTTGCCTCCCCGCGCCCTGCGCAAGCTCTGCCCGCCACGTCAATTCGTTCGCTAACACGACACACAACATGCACCCAGCCGCGCAGCTACCACGGCGAGCTGGACTACATGTCGCGGGCGGACCGCGTTGCGCGGCGGCGCGACCCGTCAATAATCCTGCCGCGCGTGCAGTCGGTGATCATGGTGGGGATGTACTACTGGCCGGGGTCCTCCGGCTTCCCGTGGCTGCACGCCGCCGCGCAGCACCCGGGCGGCGGGCGGGCGGCGGCGGGGCGGACGGGCGCGTCCGGACGCTACGCGCAGGACCGCGGGGTGGTGTCGAGCTATGCGTGGGGCGCGGACTACCACGGGGTGCTCGGCGGGCGTCTGAAGCGGCTGGGCGCGCACCTGAATGCGGTGGCCGGCGGGGTGGGCCGGTTCTACGTGGACACCGGGGCGATTCTGGAGCGCGACTTTGCCGAGCGCGCGGGGCTGGGGTTTGTGGGGAAGAATTCGCTCGTGATCCACCCGCGCGGCGGCAGCGGCTTCTTCATCGGCGAGCTGTTCTCCACCGTTGCGCTGCCGCGCGACGGCGACGAGGACGCCGGCGTGGTGCCGCGCGGGAAGGGGAAGCCCGGGTGCGGCGCGTGCTCCAAGTGCAGGGTGGCGTGCCCCACGGGGGCGATTGTGCAGGACTACCAGGTCGATGCGCGACGGTGCATTAGCTACTTGACGATCGAGCTCAAGGGGGCGATCCCCGTGGGCCTGCGGCGCGGGGTCGGGAATAGGGTGTATGGGTGCGACATCTGCCAGTTGGTGTGCCCGTGGAACCGAGTGGAGTGGGGAAAGAAGGCGGCGCCGCGAGGAGGGTACTCGCCGATGTTCGGGAGCGTCGCGGAGGACGTGGCGACGCCGCGGCTTACCGAGCTTGTGTGCATGAGCGACGAAGAGTTTGAGCAGAGGTTTCGAGAGTCGGCCGTGTATAGGATAGGCAGGGAGCGGATGGCGCGCAACGCAGCGGTCGCGCTGGGCAACGTCGGCGGGCGGGACGAGCTGGCCGTCGTGGAGGAGGTGGCGAGGCGCGACGGCAGCGAGCTGGTTAGAGAGCACGCGCAGTGGGCGGCGCGGGAGATCCGTGACAGGCTCGCCCGTGGGGGGGGGGGGGGGGGGGTGGGTGGATAAAAAAAATTAAGGTGT